GTTGATCTATTAGCTATTGATCATTGGATCTCTTAGCGTCTGTCCTTAGCACTGTCATACGTTTGCATAACAGACAAGAGTATATTCACAAAAGTGTAACGTCTGCTGTGCTTTCATTACCATGCATTCTTAAAATTGAAACTGATGTATTCAATTCAATAAAAATGTTATTACACATATCAACTGAATTTGCCCCATGCATGTATATTATTGATTGTGCAGTAATTTGCAATCAAAGGTCAATTCACAAAAATGATTGCATGAGTTTTCACTCCTCAAAATATCACTACCTTCTGTCTGGAGTTAATTGTGAGGTTTACTGAGGTGAAGAACACGCCAGTTCAGATAGAGATAAAATAATGATTTATAATAAATACATTTGACAGTGGTTAAATATTTCACCCAGGGGCGGACTGACCATTTGAAAACTCGGGCACTGCCCGAGGGCCCGGAGTCAGTAGGGGGCCCCACGAGATGCCCCTGGTACCCTTTTTATAGGCTTTTTTGAGTTTGGGCAAGGACACAGGGGCCCCATGATCCCCTATTGCCCGGGGGCCCCATGAGTTGTCAGTCCGCCCCTTTCACGTGAAAAATATAATAACTATTCCACAGCTATGTGACTTTAAAAAGTTATTGTCAGTTGAAATAGCAAACAAAATAGCTCATATAATTAGTACAGCTCATACAGTTACTATTATTAGACAGTTGGTATGGTGGATATATTGGCCTGCAAGCAATATTTGTAGCCTAACAAAGCTTTGTTATCTTGTATATATTTAAAAATGGGATTATGTTGGGTCTTCCTTAACTGTATTGTGCAATCACTACAGAGTGCAAGCATAGTGAGCAATATTGACTGGAGAGATGTATCTGGTGGAAAGCAGAACATTTAACTTTAAGCTGGCCATACACTATACAACTGGATTTTACAATCTCCTTTAAATCTATCATCAACTATGTAGTGTCGGGACCTACCTTATTGGATACAAATTGAATAGATTTTTTTATGTTTGCCCTTGTATTAAATAGTTTTGGTAAATCTAAAGAAGAGTATATAAAAATTGTACAATCTGATTGTATAGTGTATGGATCAGTGGCATCATCCATGTTAAACCACACTCACAAATTCCTTTCCCCATTTATAGCCAAACTCATAAAATAACAAAAACATTTTTGGCTGTGCAGTGTGTAGGAAAGTTGGCCCAAGAGTGATTGTCGCACATGCCCAACTGGCTTCAGTAGTACCATATTGGGATGGCATCTGCAAATTCTATTGGTGGCATCCCTAACATGGCTACCTGGCAGCACACTATAGTGAAGGACTAGAGGATGTTGCTAGGATTGTGAATGACCTGGGGCCTACTTGGGTTCAGCACTGCATGATGCATAGCACATAGCAGTGAATGGTAGGTGTGACCGAATTGCACAGTGGGGCTTAAAGGTGCTTAGATAAATAAAAATTAAGCCTACTTTGCTGTGGGTCAAGAGTGCATAACAGACAGAGTGCAGGGGTCAGGAACAGGTAATGCACAGACTGCAGGGTTAATGAGTACGTAACACAAATTGCAGAGGTGAGATTTAGGTAATGCACAGAGGGCCATCAAGAAATACACTGCTCAAAAAAATTAAAGGAACACTTTTTAATCTGAGTATAGCATCAAGTCAATTAAACTCATGGGATAGTGATCTGGTCAGTTAAGTTGCAGGGGGGTTATCAGTTTCAGCTGCTTTGCTGTTAATGAAATTAACAACAGGTGCACTAGATGGGAAACAATGAGACGACCACCAAAACAGGAATGGTTTTACAGGTGGAGGCCGCTGACGGTTTTTTTCCTGCTCATCATGCTGACTGTTTTTCACTAGTTTTACATTTGGCTCGGGTCAGTGTCACTACTGGTAGTATGAATTGATACCTGGACCCTACAGAGGTTGCACAGGCAGTCCAACTCCTCCAGGATGGCACACCAGTATTTGCCATTGTCAGAAGGTTTGTTGAGTCTCCCAGCACTGTCTCAAGACCATGGAGGAGATTGCAGGAGACAGGCAATTACTCTAGGAGAGCTGGACAGGGCCGTAGAAGGTCCTTAACCCATCAACAGAACCAGTATCTGCTCCTTTTTGCAAGGAGGAACAGGATGAGCACTGCCAGAGCCCTACAAAATGACCTCCAGCAGGCCACTGGTGTGAATGTCTCTGACCAAACAATCAGAAACAGACTTCATGAGGGTGGCCTGTGGGCCTGACATCCGCTAGTGGGCCATGTGCTCACTGCCCAGCACTATAGAGCTCTATTGAGTACCATTTTGAGTTGCTGCAATGACATGTCAGCAAAATGGACTAGCCTGCTGCATCATTTTTTCACTTTAATTTGCGGGGGTGTCTTTTTAATTCAGTAGGTTGATCATTTTAATTTCCATCAAAAGATGGGGCATCCTTACGTTCCTAAAACATTACCCAGTCCATATCAGTTTAGATATCCAGCATGATAGTTTTCCCAATGGAGATCTGATGTGTTTTTCAAAGTGTTCCTTTAATTTTATTGAGCTGTGTAAATTACCCCCTCCTTCCAATACAATACCCCCCTCCACTTCCATGATAAAAACCAGCTTCAACATAAATTCCTTCTCTCTCCCTACCTGATCAGAACTCATTGAACATTGCCATTGTGTTGCATTTGCTGGTGTGCTGTGGATCCTGATGACCACCTGTGGGTTATTTTTCAAATATTTGTGAATAATGCAGCTGCCAGCTTCAGACTCTGTCCACTATCTTTCACACCTGCAGCACAGAGCTGAGGAAAGTGCTCTGAAACTCCTCCTTGCCTTTGTGCTACACAGGTCTGGCAAGTGATGGGCGGGCTGGGGACAGAAGCTAACACCTGCATAACTCACAAATGGAAGAAAAAAATGCAGGCCAAGGACTACACTGCCATAACATTGTTGGACATGTTTGTTTGAAAGGAAACAGACCTCTCAAAACTGGGATTGTCCCTGACAAATGTGGATAGATGGAAGCCTTATTTGAGACACTTACAAAGAAAGGGTTATATAGTAGACATCTTTCTACCTTATAGTTGAAAGTACTGAATATGCTTAGATAATAACTGAAAGACATGTTTGGGAACACTGATAGCAAATGAGTGTACATGTTGCCTTTCCTTTATTCTTTCACAGACATTTCTGCTTTTCCCCAACTTCTCCCATCTCCTTTTACCTCTCTTTGACTGCCTGTGTTAAGTAGAAATGAGTTGAACATACCTTGATTCGGTTGAAGGTGAGTTTGGTGAACATTACAGGTTTTTGTGAAGTCCTTATATAAAAAAAAAAACAGACACACAGTTCCAGTCCCACAATGTACATCCATCGTCAATCACATCGTCCAGGGATATAGATCTCTGTCATACATTATACATAATGCCCACTGACCCAATAGAAAAAAAACATTGACTTCAACACACATCCAATCTCATCGCTTCATCCCTATCAAATGGCAAACTTTTTTTGTGAATAAGCAGAGGTACTATGTATCTCCTACTAATATACATATGGGATGTTACCTGGGGGCCATTATTAAATGGGCTTCTAGATTCTGATAAACCCCCTGACCATAGGCCCTTCTCCTCATCAACATGGGGACAGGGTACTTTGCAAAGGAGTCCCTGGCACAGGTACCCCATTTGTTGAGAACCAGTGGCCTGGTATGGTTATGGGGCACATGTCAATCCCCTTTCTTTCCTGACCTGCCAGGCTCCATGCTTAGATAAGGGTCTGGTGTGAATTTTTGAGGGGGACATCATGCTCTTTTGTTTTCTTCTTTATACCAGACCTGAAGGGTCTGATATTAAATTTGGGGGACCCCACCTTTTTGTTGTTTTTTTTATTTTGTGTGGAGTCCCCCTTAAAATTTATACCAGACATGAAATGGTGAATTTATTCCTGGCTCCTTTACTTACATGGCTGGAGACTTCTAGCCATGTACTGTAAGTAAATGGGGTTGGTGACATCACTGGTTGTTAAGGACTTATAACAACCACTGACAGTGGGAAGCTTTAATGTTTAATAGTAGTAATAATAACTTAAAGCCAATCCTTAAGTTCATCCCTAGTGCAAACCTTTCTGCTTCTTTTCTTCTTGCTTCTGTTCTCCTTTTTCTGAGACTGCATGTGTTCTGTACACTCGCTGCCTGCAAGAAAACATTGTTTCTACAAAATTGTTATTATTAACAAAATGAAAAAAAAACTGTAACATCATATTTGTGAAGATAAGCAACACTATTCTAATACTGTAGTATTAAGACCTCTTTCTCTGAAATATAACATCCATCTGAAGACCATCATACTATATCGTTGTAAAAGATCAGCTATATCAGCAATAATGGTCCGCCCCTATCCCCATCATATCATGCAAACAGACTGACTACAACATGTATGTTTTAAAGAGTAGATGTTCCACAATCCAAAGACTTGAGGCTTTGCCCTATAAATGATGATCACTGTGAAGGACCACCTGCACCCAAGACCTGGGTGCTTCTGTCAGAGAACTGCTTCCTTGGACACAAGAACAAGGTATTATAGGTGGGCATTGCACCTAAGGACTAGACAATGCTAGTTTAGGTGCAAAACTGGCACTCTTTATTTGAAAAGAAATACAGGTTTTTACACATTTCAAAAATAGGGGCAGTCCCCACATAAAGGATAAACACAAATATTACACATTGTGATAAACATCCCACACTGATTAGGTAATAAGTTCAAGTTGATACCAGACTAATCCCATCAAGTAAGAACCTCCAGGAGAACTAGCCAACAGACAGAAACAATATGTGACTCAATTAACTCAATTAACAATGGGACAAAGCCACAGTAAACACATCGCACCTTAATAAACAGATTAAAGCAAGATACCTCAGCATCAGGTTGTTCTGAGCTAATTATATTAACATCTGCTTAGAATCTCTAAGTCTAGGAGGAGGATTGAAGCGGTCAATGCTAGTATGGGCACAGAGATCCCAAATCTGTATCCTGGTACTCCAGTTGTCAGAGTCTGTGTGTTTTGGGGTCTTGAATCCAAAGTAAGAACTACTCCAAAAGGTCCTCCAGACATACTTCCCAAATAATAGAGCCCCCTCAGTTGCCAGGGCCCATGGTTAGTAGGCAAGAGGCTAGCTTGCAGTCTCCTCCAAAAGACCCTGTCTTGGTTGGGTCTATCATAATTACAAACTGCATGACCAAAAAAAAAGGCCCTATTTTCCAATGACTGATGGCATGTTTTTTAAGAACTGTTAATAAAAATATATGCCCATGTTGCAGTGACACACCGCAAACTGCCAACAATCATACAATAATGATACAGTTATGCATTACTATTTGTAGTTAACTGCTGTTCACTACAAAACCATCATGAGTTGTTCAAAAGACCATTTCTTGCTAGCAAAATTGTATAATCATCAATTACCCTAACTTATAACAATGCCCTTAAAGTCAAAACAGCCAAAACAGTTTTATTTTTTGTTTTGGATAGAGTGGGGAAAGGTTAGAGCCCCTGTTGCATTTTTACTGCTATCCAAGGGTTCCGTTAGAGAAATTAATCTTTATGTTTTATCAGAATAAAAGTAATGTTACATTTTCAACAGCAATGCAGACAGAAATAAGAATGCTTTTCTTCAGTAGAGTATGGGAAGACTAGAACCTCTGTCAAATGTTTTATTTTGTGTGTGTTACTCTTGCTGATTTCCCCCCACCTCCTGACTGGTAAACAGCTGTCTTCAGAACAGGACTGGTTAAAGCTCTCTAACGGAGACTTATATGTCAGTAAAAACCTGTAAATTGTTCTAGTCCTTTCCATTCTATCCAAAACTAAAAAAGATGTTTTCGGCTTGACATATACTTTAATCCAATTAAAAAGTATGTGTATATTTTCTGTTTAGAACAACACAGAGCTAAGGGTTAAATGTTGAACTCTATCATTTCTAGGTTGAGTGGCTTAGAAAAACAGCGATCCATAGAAATATGTGCTTATTTCATGAAAAGGCAGATATACGCTTTTTCTATAATAAGTCAATTTACCTGCAGAACTAATGTGCAGCAAACCTTGATTAATTGGTTTAAAAAAATTGCTTGCTAGGTCTAAAATGATGCAAATGTTCAGGGTGTTTTTTTCTCCAGTCAGCTTTTTAATTGGTTTACAGGTTTGTGACCTGCAATTAAAGAATAAAAGGATGTGAACAAGTTTATCTTCACTAACAGCAGAATAATGAAATCACTTGGTGGAAATAATTGGGTTTTAAGTAAAGCAATGTTTTAACAACAGCTAATGATGCAGAGCCCCTAGTTTCAGCACACATGGATTAAACTGCTAATTATATTACCTTGTTAAAAAAACAGTAAAAAGACATGTATGTAAATCATTCAGAACAATTTGAATATCCACACCAATTATTGCTCTTGAAATTGGTTGCAGTCTGAAAAGGGGGGTTTGTTTTGCGTATATCGCTCTATACTCTGACAATTTTCATTAAAATGTGTGCGCTTCAGCAGAATTCTGAAAGGTTATCAGTAATGGATGAGTCATCAAGCCACATTATTCTTTCAATAAAAGATGAATTATATAGTTTTGCTAAAAATGTAGTCATTGTCAGGTTATTCAGATGATTCTTTTCTACAGAGACCATCCTACAGTATATACTGTACATCCAAAGTATACCATCGTGGACTGAATTTGCATTGCCAGACTCATGATTTTAAACTCTGAGTTATGCCTAAAAACTATTTTGTGAAATCATGCTGATACATGCGTTTGTTGGCATATATGCTTTTTGGGTCCATGGCCGGTGGTGTTTGGTGTGCCGCTCTCCATGCGTAGAGCAAGTTAAAATCCTATAGCTCCACTATGACTTTTAAAAGTGAAATATCCTCTATTCTAAAACACCTCCCTAACACTTAACTCCTACTTTCTTTAACCATGGGATTGTACACCCCATTAACACCTATCATACCATAAGAACATACTTAAATAATAAAATAAGCAAGCAACAAGGATTGTGGAAAAGTTTAGGTCACAGCCTCTTTATTCGGTTTATATCTATTTTAATTGTGAAATTAACTTTAACCTTTAATACCAAACAGAACCACTGTTAACCATTAGCAGACCAATATGCTTAGTCACTAAAAGTTAAGCAGCAATATCTTATACCAACCAAATAACAGTTTACCAACCACTGTCCATCCACAATGTTGGCGACATCTCATAAAGATGGACCTTCAATATCAAACAAAACTGTTGTTAACCAATAACAGACCAACATGCTTAGTCACCAAGACTCAACCAGCAATATCTTATACCAGGGGCGGACTGACCATTTGGAAACTCGGGCACTGCCTGAGGGCCCGGGGTCAGTAGGGGGCCCCATGAGATGCCCCTGGTACCTTTTTCATAGGCTTTTTTGATGTTGGGCAAGGACACAGGGGCCCCATGATCCCCTATTGCCTGGCGGCCCCATGAGTTGTCAGTCCGCCTCTGTTTTATACCAACCAAATAACAGCGTACCAACCACTGTCTCCCACAAAGTGGGCGACATTACCTCATAAAGATGGACCTTTAATATGAAACAGAAGTGTTGTTAACTAATAACAGACCAACATGCTTAGTCACCAAGACTCAAGCAGCAATATATTACACCAACCAAATAACAGAGTACCAACCACTGTCCACCCACAAGGTGTGTGACATTACCCCACATAAAAATTAAGAAAAAAAGCTTATGGACTTTATAGATGCTACAATAATTTCATAAAATGTAACGCTTTATTAAACATATATAAGCATACAATATATAAAATTGTTACAGAATATATCCTAACCCTCTAACATACAAGAAAATGAATGCAGATTCATATACTATTGGTAAACCCCACAATTTCAAAAATGTGCCGCATCTCGGCAATAACTAAGAGGGGGTACTCTTTAAATAATGATAGTAATGGTTCAACACGTTTCATGATGGTACCGCTTCTTCAGGAGCTATAAGAAGATTTCTAAATGGCAAATATACTGTAAAAATATAAATTTGCATTGATAAACAAATCAACATCCTATGTGAAATACTTACAACGTACACATATCAGAACAGATGGTAATAGAAGGGATATAATAATTCAAGATACATACATATGCACATAGGAAGTGCCTGATAGCACCATGAGAGGCCAATCAATGAGGGGATCCCAACAACGCCGGAGAAGTGGAACGCACACCCTATGACAGTACCTGGTGCGTAAATAGGCATATAAGGATTGATGATGTTGGTATACTAAGGTTCTGCTAAATGGTTAATATCAAATATAAATCAAGGGATAAAACTAACCTCCACGTTAGTTGAACATAATAGGGCTATTGCCCTAGTAGAGAACCACTTGAGTCAGCTTAAAGAGGCAAATATTGAGTATAAGGGTCTATAAGAAAAATACAGAAGGAAAAAAGGTAAATAATTGTTTGATTTGTAGGGCATATAGACCCCAACAGTCCACAGCTAAGACCCCGGACTTAGGAAACTAGTAAGACAGCCAATAATGGGAACAACACAAAAGGAAGTAACAGACCTTACTTACATATTCACCTTTAAAGGGTCAAAGGCTCTGGATCAGCCCCCCAATAATGACCGGAGGGCTTAGTATCACTCCTTCTGGGGTGGGGTTCTGGTCAGCATTGGGGGGCTGATCCAGGGCCTTCCTTTTGTGTTGGCCCTGAAATTCTTTTTACTGTGAATTGTTTATTTGAGATCAGAAAGGAAATATACCTAATTCATACAGTAACAAGAATGTATACAGTAGTTAACAAATTCAACAATAGTCTGTACGTAGATAACCCTGATTGAGGGCAGTGAAAGGGAATTCAAAGCTTGAACTCTTTTTTTAATAACCCTTAAAATGTACCTACAGCCAAAACTTTAGATTGTAGGTGGAGAAAACTCCTGTCATTTTTTTCATTTATTAAAAAAAATGCAGTTATTTATCTTTCCATCCATGTCCCATTACCATGTTCCAATACACTACGGGAAGTGTGGAGGAAATATTTTATTCAATTTTATTTGATAATTGCCACTGGAACAAGTGCCCCCATTGGACAGGTTTGGATTTTTTCTCATTACACATTATTTGCTTGCCATTTCTTGTTCAAATAGATATTTTGGGTGTCCCTGTCCACCTTTGTATGTTCCATCTTTAGCTGTTCCATTCACCATATTATCATGTAAATTAAAAAAAATCAGATTTTCCTATGTTCAAGGCATATCCAGTATGTGCAAAGAACATTTATGATAACTGTTGTAGACTTCTTGGGCTTTGCCCAACATCATTGTTCTATTATATATTATAAACTGCTATACAATTATCTACATATAATATCTGGTGATATAAAATATATGTATGTTTTATTTTTCTACCCAATTTCTCCAGGAAAGTCCTGAGAAGCATATAAAACACACCCACACATTTTAGGTAGTAGCCCATTGGAACTTATGCTGGCTGTTTTTTGAAATGTCACAATACTTTTGCCCAGGAGGAATATAAAAGGTTTGTAATTATGCATTTTTACAGAAAACACTTTCAGCCATCTCCAGAAGCTTCCATATATGCAAATATAAAGTATGCAATAAAGTGTTTAGGTAAACATAGCGATAATAAGACAGCAATATCCAACCCTGTTGTCTTGCAGTGTTTAGTTTAGCTCCTACACAAATTGCTGTTCAGATAAGATTTGCACATTCTCTGCATATTTGCATGAATTTTCTCCCAATGATCAAGTTTACTTCCACAGCATAACACATACAGGTGGCTTAACTGACTTCAAACTAAATTGATCCTGAAATATTTAAGCTTTTGTCAGCTGCACTGGCAGATGCAGAGATTGATGTGAATGATTCATAAAAAAAAGTCTTAAAGCATTTTTAAGCATGTAAAATTGATTCCATTAGAAAACAACTTAAATCTGAAGAATGCTATTAACATCTACAAAAGTAAGCAAACATACGGTTTCTATGTAATGGGATGGATTGCAGTTCCCGAAATATTATTTCCAAAAATGAAGCATAAAAGAGAAATGAACAACTTTTCTCCAACCTTTGGTTTCTTAAGCTCTCATAAAAGGTGTACCTTGCGCAATGTCCACTTTCTAACCAAAACATTGTGTTATGCAACATACTTTTTGGTTATCCTAGCCTTCATGAGTGTGTAGCTAAAGGAAAATATTAATGGAAATTAAAAAATACTGTATATATGATTTTTGGCCATCTAGTGAGCCTCGGCATCTTGTTGTGAGATCTTAAATGCTAAGTAAAATGTCAGGTCATGTAGAAAAATCACAGGTATTGCATCCTAAATGTTAGCTCACTGTGCATGAGAGAAAAGGAAACATCTCTAAATTACAAGGCTTGACTGTAACAAAAATACAACTGTATCATTTTAACCGCTTTATTTTTTTTTTACATCCTATTAGAATCTCAGCGATTTTATAAGTTTAGGGTTGATGCTTTGGTAATACATTTCCAAGATTTTGTTTCAACACCTCCTTGGCACAGAGTCACAACAGGGGGTTGCCTAATGCTTGTGTTCACTTACTAGATGGCCTCCACTAAAGGTTAATGTATAAACTAGAAGATGCCTTCATTCACAAGGAAAACATTTATTTCCATGGAAAGCAAGGTGCTGCTAGATTATTAGCAAGTGAGGAAATCAGTAACACTTTCACTTACCTAATTTTCACTGCAATCACCCTAGTTTAAAGTGACAAACAAAAACCTTATTCTCCAGAAAAAGTCCATACACATTCACTACTTGATGACCATGTAATCTATTTTTTCTTGCTGTGTTTTTCTGTCTCCTTGTCTCAAAATATTCTCTGTGAACCCCCGAACTTCTTTTCCTCTCTCACTTTCATTTGTTTGGAACAATGTGAGGTCATGTGCACTGTTCTAATCACTACAAACCCCATAGTCTATAGCAGTGTTTCTCAACCTCTTTTCAGTCAAGACACCCTTTAAAATTATGGATAATCTCAATGCACCCTTAAAAATTCTGCACAACCTCAAGACACCCCAATCTAAAATGTGAAAAACTATTCTACATACATCCAGGACACCCAACGTTAGAGGTGATTTATTCTTACAAAGCAAATACAACTTTGCACACTGGTACTGACTAGTATTCCAGTGTGTCTCTCTCATTTTCTCTCCCTCACTCTGCTATTGTGACCCCTGTTCCGACAGAGAGGGGCAGGGGAGGGCCAAACAAAGATGATGCATGCACCCGACGTTCTCCTTATCAACTGATGGTGTCATTGGTTGTTAGGCTGCTGGCAGCTGGAAGGCCATAAAAGTGCACAATGAAAACCTGTGGCTTTTTGTGCTAAAAGGCAGGATTGATCCACCTACTGGCTTGTATATAATTTTTAGCCATTTTTCCAAGGCATCCCTGAAGAAGTCTGAAGGCACCCCAGGGTGCCTGGGTACCCTGGTTGAGAAAGGCTGGTCTATAGTACTAAATCAATTTCAGGAGCAAGCAAGAGAGGGTGGCTACATTCCCATACTTTTTTTAACAATAGTTTAGTGTCACTTTAACTAAGATACAATTTTTAGCTTTTTAAACCTTACTATTTCTGTAGAAACTATGGAAAACTGTTTGAGATGATGTGTATTTTTCTTTTAAAGCATATAATTTTGTTCTGTAAAAAATAACTTATTCATTTCTTTGGTTGAAAGCAAAATCAAATAGTAGAAAGTGCTGGCAAATACCAAACTGCTGTGTTCTACCAGAGCAAGAGTAGGAAGTAGACATGTGTGACTCGTTTCATTACAAAATGAAATTCAGATAAAATTTTCATTATTTGGAGATTCGGATGTATTTCAACAAATACAAAATAAATGATAACGAAAACAAATTAATTTGTATTCATTTGTTTCATTCATTTGCGACTTCAGAGGGTTTTTGTAAGTTCAATAATGTGTGTCACACTCTGTATTGTTATGATTGGCAAAGTTGGAAGCAAGTCACATCGAAATCACAAGCAAGTTGCAATGCATCCAAGTTACATCAAAGTCACAAGCAAGTTGAAATGTAAAGTACCCCAGAAATATAACAAATAAATCCGAATTTTCCAAATTAACCTCCAAAAATACAAATCGATTTGGAACAATGAATCAGATGCTTTTTTAATTGAAATTTTAGAGGCAGTAAATACACAACAAAACAAACAACCCATTAACACAACATTACAGTCGCAGTGGGTCAATGAAATTAATGGAAACTGAAATAATATAGTAGTGGTCTGTTGTATCAGTACCATAATGGTCTACACTGAGGCATTACATGAGCTGTTACAGATAATACCAAATAAAAATTCCATTGACCCATAAGAACAAAAACAAATATGAAATAGGCTCAACATAATCTAGTATGCTAATGACAGAAAACTAACTTGTATGCCTATTGGTGCACTGGAATTACGTTTATACCTCAGAACTCAACTTC